AAGAGGGATCAGCATAGAATCCCTACTTAGCCACAAGCGAACTAAGTCCAACCTCCCTTGAATTCTGTTGACTCTTATCTAACCCAAAGTAGCTGTTAACCCTTAGTTGAGAAGATTCTTGTGCATAGGCATGATTAGCAATAAATCAGTTTAATTGGATCTGCACGTGGACCTGATCTTTTGAGTATGAAAGCATGCTAAAAACATTTTGCTACAATTATATATTATACAATTATATAACCTCTCAGATTTCTGCTGACTTTGCATTTAGGTAAATATTGCTAATCTGGGGGGAAAATGGGGAAAGTGTTGTAGTTGATTTTTTTTACATCATGCTTAATACAATATACAAAGGCTGTTTTATAGTAAACATTCCAGTTTCCCTGAATGTAAAACCACAATAAGAATGGATAAAGTCCAGATATGGAAACTTTGATTTAAATATGGGGATTTGGTAAGTTCTTCAACCTGAGTTAAAGAAACTCTCTACAGCAAAAGCAAGAGCCATTCTTACCTGGCTAGGTTCTTCCCAAGCTGTTTAACGAGAGGGAATAAATTAGCACAGTCTGAATAAATTGGCCATATTTTTTCTGCATCCAAATTCTGTCATTCTGATCTTATGAACATCCCACAACCCCATGTCTTACAGTTTTGGTTTCTCTCACAAGTATTTCATATTTATTGGGCAGAAAACCCAGATCAGATATTCAATACAGTGCACATCATTCATACACAGTATGGCCATTATACTTGGCCATGTGCAATTTCTGGAGTCGTTGACTTACCTGCTTTGCCAGACTGCCTATTTTGGGGATCTTCAATGCTCCTTCCATTGAAAACATTCATACCAGGCTCTGAGAGAGAACAGAATATATAAAAGAGGTTGCATAAAATGTTGTACACCAGGACAAGAAAGCTAGACATTTGTACTAGTGCCATTCATATGTCAGATTGATCATGCTGTATGTTCATTTAATCCATGAAATGGGGTTAAAATTGTAATTTGGTCTGTCGCAAGGCATTAAAACTTGTTTATCTTTGTGTGTGTGGATGTGTGTGTGTGCGTGCGCAGGAAACGACAGCCTGCTTTTTGTAAACATAAAACTAATAAAGCTCAGCAGGCCAAGATAACATAATGTATTCTAATTAAAATCTGCATCCGGAAAGGCACATCACAGAGCACTGATGGCTTGATTTGTTTTGGCTGCTGTAATTTAATAGTTTTGTTTCAGTCAGTATGCCTCAACTGTAAAAGTATAATTTTATGTGGAGTAGGTATTATATTGCAGGGATCTCAGCTGAATGCCTTTCTACACATGATATGGATTTAGGCATTATACTGAAATGGGAAAATTCTCAATTGTGCTATTATAGACTCTGAATTCGTTATTTAAAATGTTCCCCAGATTTTTCTTAAAAAACAAAACAAAAACAACCAGAACTCTTCCCTGTGTATGTATCAGGAAGAGAAGTATTCTATATCTGCTTCTTTCATGGATTAACTCAGTGCACATACTATTATTTACTTCCCGTAATATCAGCCTTGTGAGGTAGTCCAGACAAGAAGCAGACCCACAAGTATGAACTCTGTATTTATTGTAAAGTTCCATTAACAGAATGTTGCAGGTCTGAAAGTACATCTCCCTCTCCTACCTCACCTTTATAGTCTGAGGAATTAGGAGGGGTCCCTTCTGAGAGTTTTGCCACAACTCCATTCCTTCTGTAGACTCAGCCACCTCTTATTTTATTGTTGCCAAGTCTGTGGCTTTCCTCAAAGTCATTCTCACCTACCATTATAGTTGAAGAAGAGTTTGAGATGATATGATCCAAAATTTCTCCTGATCATTTGCATGCTATTGTAATAATTTTAAATTGTTGACTCTATACAAGATGCCATGAAATAGCCAGATATCTCTCAGTCTGAAATTAGTGGAGCATCAACTTTCTATACTAAAATAGTCTGCTACATATAGTTCCAGAGAAGATGGAGAAATGACACATATAAAAGGCTCTTATTTGTGCATGGGTTGTGATGGGGATAGGAATATATTAAAGCTATTTGGAAATTTCAAAGTATTTTTTTCAGATCTCTGTCAAGAAATGATGGCCACGATAATAATTAAGGAGCTATCAAAAACAGGTTGCATGGTTTCTAATGTCTCATTAATGAGCTTGCTTAAAACAGCAATTTTAATATACTATGGACTCATGATATGAAATGATTAAATTCTCTAATTAAATCACAGCAGCTATTTAAAAAATGCTTTATTGTTAGTGGTGATAGATATTTGTGTGTAGCAGCCTGGGGCCTGTAAACAACTTTTAGCTAGGTAAGGCAAAAACTGCTGGATGCCAAAGTCATGGTTTGTGTCCATATTGATATATTATGAGTACAGTTTTAGAATAGAATAGAGCTGGAAGGGACCTTGGAGGTCTTCTAGTCCAGCTCCCTGCTCAAGCAGGAGAACCTATATCGTCTCAGACAGGTGGATGTCCAGTCTCTTCTTAAAAATCTCCAGTGATGGGGCACTCACGATTTCTGGGGGTAAGCTGTTCCACTGGTTGATTGTCCTCACTGTCAGGAAATTTCTCCTTAGTTCCAGGTTGCTTCTCTCTTTGGTCAGTTTCCAACTGTTGTTTCTCGTCCTTCCATCTGGTGCTTTGGTGAACAACCTCGCCCCCTCTGCCTAGTGGCAGCCCCTCAGATACTGGAACACTACTATCATGTCTCCCCTATTTCTTCTTTTCCTTAGCCAGACCCAAATCCCATAGCCGTTCTTCGTATGTCTCTAGGCCCCTGATCATCTTAGTTGCTCTTCTTTGAATTTTTTCCAAACTCTCAACATCTTTTTTGTGATATGATGACTAAAATTGGCTGCAGTATTCTAGGTGTGGTCTTACTAGGGCTTTATAAAGTGGTAATAGTACTTCTCATGATCTTGATTCTATGTCTCTGTTTATACAACCCAGGATTTTGTTAGCTTTTTTGGTTGCTGCTGCACATAGACAAGTGATCGTCTACTAGGATTCCAAGGTCCCGCTCACAGTCACTGTTTTTGAGCCAGGTCTCGCCCAATCTGTATTTTCTATTTCATTACAGCCATCAGTGTAGATGTTGCTTTTGTCAGATCATTATAGCAAAATTTCCACTGAGACTGAAAACTGCATAAGATGATGATTATTATTGTGATTGCTTATCTTTTCAAAATTCAGCAGTTTCCTGGAAATGTTCTAAAGGTGCAAAATTTTTTATGGATGAAGAGTAGTCTGGAGGATGTAAAATCATTTCTGATAGGAGTAATGGCTAGTACTTGTCTGTACACTGGATTAATAACTCTAAACAAGTCAAGGCAGACTAATTTAAATCGCCAAGATGTACTCATAGTCAACCTACTATGGAAGCTACAGTGGAGTAGCATACTGTACATCACAACTGACCATACAGCAGTCTAAAATTCTCAGTCCTTTTAGTAGGGAATAATATTTATTAAAAAAATAAAGGGTATGAAAAAAACGAGGCCTCCCACCACCCAAAAAAAATATGTATACAGGTAATCCTCGAATTTCAACAGTTCATTTAGTGACCATTCAAAGTTATAGTGAGACTGAAAAAAGTGATTTATGACCATTTTTCACACTTATAACCGTTGAAGCATCCCCATGTCATGTGATCAAAATTCAGATGCTTGGCAACTGAGCCATATTTATGACAGTTGCAGTGTCCCGGGATCATGTGATCCCCTTTTGTGACCTTCTGACAAGCAAGGTCAATGGGGAAGCCAGATTCATTTAACAACCAAGTTACTAATTTAACAACTGCAGTGATTCACTAAACAAATGTGGCAAGAAAGGTTGTAAAATGGGGCAAAACTCACTTAACAAATTTCTCACTTAGCAACATAAATTTTGGGTTCAATTGTGGTTTGTTAGTTGAGGTCTACCTGCATTTCAAAGGGATGGAATAGGCTCAGGGGCTGTGGAACATTGAGTTTTCTGTAGAAAGAAAAGTTGAAAATCTGGAAGGACAGGAATGAAAAGTTCAAGCTGAGCTCTTTACAGCCTGTAGTATTCATAAGGAGAAGCTGGCTTCCCAGAAGAAACTCTGAGGAGATGCACAAATCGTGGTGAGAATGGTCTGTCAGGACATTTTTAATTCCTATCAGTCTCACTTTCTTTCAAAGTAGAAAATTAAAGTCTTTAAGTAGCATCTTTTTGGTATGGATAATATCCATTGGCTATGATGCAATTTACCATGGCATATGAAGGCAAATTAGTGAATAGGTGTCTTTGTAATGTGTTAAACAAGGTGATTAAAGACAGAAAAACTGTTTTTGATCCCTATCTGTATTGGGACAGTGTTCTCTGTGGCCCTGGCAACAAGAGAGTTTTGTACTGTTGTTTTTCAGAAATAAAATATTCTACATGAGAAACAAATGCAACCCTTCTGTTCTGGCTTATATAAAGGGATTTTAGAATCTTGGTGATGCTGATACATTGTGGATATTGTTTTAAGACAATTCTGTGTAGATTCAACTCTCACCAGGAATGTGCTTAGGGACGACTAGAAATAAGAAGCAGTGGACAAAGTAAGTTAGGGGGTCATTTCTTTTTAGTGAACCATCAGTTACTGTGATGAAAATAAGCACAGTATGCTTTGCTTGTACAATCCTCCTTGCATCGCCTCCAACATGGAAGACCTTATGTTTGAATCATTTCTGAAGAAAGATGTACAACATTTTGTTGCAAAGTGTGGCAAATGTGATTCTATTATTCCTATTGGCAGAAATCTTGTTACAGGTTCTCCTGATACTATAGTAGTAAGATGAAGGTTTTTGTTTATTGTTTTTTTTTAAAAAAAGAGATGTACATTAGTATTAATCTTACAACTCCCTTGAAAAATACATATTCTCTCTTAATTAATTATCCACCAAAGGCAAATTACATTTCCATATGAGCCACATCATTAATGCCTTGTCTATTTCTCTTTGTTTTTTTCCTAGTCATAATGAAAGACGGAACACTTTCCTTCATCCAGTGATTGGCCAGACCCCAGAAGTGAACAATCATTTTGGTTTGCAAAGGTTGGTGGTTTTTAGTGCCTTGCAATATTGGGCATAAAATGGAAGTTCATGAAAGAGGACAGAGAATAAAATTTAAGGATGAAAAATACCAGATGAAAGAAATTTGTTCCAGAAATCTAGCTCAAGAAAAAAAAGGGGGGGGGCAGGGATTTTCATAAAGGAGATTTGTATTTTATCTGATTTGATGTATTCTTGGTTTAAGTTAATGTTAACCCAAGATCAATATATGGACATGTATTAGTGGTGTGAAAGTATAAGAAGCAAAGCCAGTTTCTTGGGACTGTTAATAATGTATTTTTTCTCTCCTTCACCTGCAATCTCAGATCTGTCTTTGACATGTCAAGCAAAGCAAGTAGCAAGCGGCCGGCAACAGTCAGTAGTGAATCCTCCAATCACACAATGGTTTCAGAGGTGCCTCAGGAACGACCAAATGGCAGAGTATGTTTGCTACATTATGCATTGTGGTCTTCCTTATTTTTTTCCTTTTGTGGCTCTGTTCTGATAGGATTGTCCAAACCTTCTGGCTGTCAAATTTTTCCATCTGAAAAATAAGGTGCAACTGATCTGCTATTGTGAAATTTAGGGTATTCTATTTTATTTCACAAAAATTAGGCATCTTTTTTATGCCAAATGTCATAGCCAGCATGTGCCCAAGATTATGAGTTTGATCCACACTTAGTCATGCTTAAAATGGACCCATTAGTACTCAGTCAGACTTAATTCTTCCTTTCAGTGTGCCTGTTCTAATATTTATTTATCAAATGTATACCTCCTTCCAAAGGAGTCTAAGTGGTTCGTAAAAATATAAATCAATTAAAAAGTCAAATTAGAAATAATATAAAGTATATAACAAAAATAAAAACTGCAGCATGATGCAAAAACTCAGCAACCATCAGACTTAATATGATTAAGTAGGATTTCATTGTATTACCCACTGCTTGTTTTGCCTTTCCTAACCTTTCTGTTTCATTTCCCAAAGGCATCATCACGTACTTCCAGGAAAGGAATTGCTTTTGGAAAACGTTCTAATTCCATGAAGAGGAATCCCAATGCTGCGGTGACCAAGAACGGTTGGCTCTTCAAACAGGTAAACCACCTGTCCTTCATTACATCAGGAGATACTCATAGCCCCTAAGCTGTGAGTAAATTTTGAAGGTCCCCAAACCAATTCCTGATTCTATTGGTAAATTAGATCCTACAGTTTAATGCTGGAATTCTTTTGCAAAATGTTTCACACCCACACACATAATTAAATAATTATTTGGGGACTTCTGAGTTCTTTTCTGGACTGTCCAATTTGACAACACAGTCATGATCACCAACACATCTTTGGCCCCACCAAACATGACTTTCATCCACTAAAGCTAGAGCAAATGCTATTTGGTGTGCTAAAGGTTGCCCATCTTTGCACAAGTTTCTCCTATTTTCTCTCCAACATCACAGTCAGCCTTCATGCTTTAGGACAGTCAAGGAAGTGCTGTTTCACCCATTACTTGCTTTTCCTTATAACTTTATTGAGCAAGAAACTGATTTGAAAGTCGATAGTTTATTTGATCATTCCACCTGTGAGTTCTAGTGCTGTCTTAAGCATGAAAGTCAGCTGGGTGCCTTTGAGCTAGTCACTCTGTCTCAGTACCACCCACCTCACAGGATTGTTGTGAGGAAAATAGGAGGAGAAAGGAGAAATAAGTGTGTTTACCACCTTTAGTTACCTATGAAGTAATAAAGGCAGGATAGGCATAATAATAAATAAAATAAAATATATAATAATAAAATAAAATAAAATAATAAAATAATAAAATAAAATAATAAAATAATAATAAAATAATAATAAAATAGAATAAAGACTTCCGGTTTTGCGCAGTAGTGACTGGTCATGGGCTTGCGGATTCTCTGCACCCCTGTGGCTAATTTCGCCCTGCCTGGGGACCCTACATTGGGTCTAAATTGCCTCGGAGAGATGACAAAGAAAGAAGAGTGCTCCAGCAATTCTGGAACGGCAGCGGCCATTCCGTTCAACTTGGGAAAAGCCTTCTAACCCAACAGAAGAAAGGTTGGCTGTATTGCATCGACCAGCCCAAGCTACTAGCAACCGAAGTCCAAAAGCACTAACCAGCACACCTGTGAACAGCGTGCTTGAAACTGGGTGAGGAATTCGATCTTCTCTTTTCTATTCTACATTTAATTTCCTGGAAAAGATCCCCAAGAAGCAAAATACCTCCGAAAGGGAAGGAGGGGGATTTCCGCCCCACCCTTATACTAATGGAAGCGGCGAATTAATCTTTTTATGGAGGATCAAAATATATGGAAGTGAAATAAATATGAAACCTGAAATTTAAAACTTAAATCTGGATAAATCTAAAATTGTTTGAATGGTTAAGACTCTCATTTTAAACATAATTATTTATTTTGGAAATTGAAAAACAAATAGTTTCTGATACCTAGTGGTGGATGAAGACTATGACAGCTATGACTTTAATATAAGACTTGGCAACCTGGGAAAAGCTAATCTGTGTTTGTGACCTTCAAAGTTTTAACAACAAAGAACAGCTGTGACAAAAAAGAGACAATAATCTGGGCTGTAGACAAAGAGAGAATGATACATTTCAGGAAAAAAATCTTTTTTGAACTATTTGGATTACAAAAATCTATTTAATTGGGACTCTAAAGCTATTTGCAGAGAAAAGAAAGGAAGATGAAAACTCAAATTCTTGGCCATCATGGATCAGAGACATGTAGAAAGAACATATCAAGAAAACATAAATACTTAACAGGAGGAGATATATAGTATACTGCAACTAATTCAAACAACAATGACTTTAAACCACAAAGAAATCCAAACTTTTTGATTACTTCATAGCATATTTTTGACAACCTTCTGGGTTGCAAAGCCTCACTAACCACGCTTTCCAAATGGATCAAATCGTGCATTGGGCTACCATATGAGACACAGAATAAGGGTGCCCCACAGGACAAATGGGCAACTAATAAGCTCCTAGGAGATGTCTATAGAGTGGGCTCGTGGTTCTCCATGTTCAATTGCATTAAAGCTAAGCAAGAGTATTCCTCTCCCCCCAATATGTGAGGGAAGCTCTGATGTGTTCCACAATAGGGTGCCTTGGCTTCACTGTAGGAAAATGATACATTGAAATTGGATCAGATCCAATATCTAAAGTGGAGAGAGTCCACCTACAGGAAGGAGGAAATATTTACAGAAAATTGCACATCACAAACCCCTTCTTTCTTCTTTCTCTTTTTGCTGAGATTTCTTTCTGACCTGTCATTCTGAGACTGGGGATCAAAGTATTCCCTCTCACAGGAAGTAACTTTAGAACTAATTTAGACACTGCTTCCACAGCAGCTGGGCAGTATATATTCTATTCTAGAAGATGGATCTTCTTGGTAAATCCAGCATACCAGTTCTTGTCATATACTATCTAGAAATTCTATTACTTTGTCTGACCTTAGCCTGTCATGCCAGTTTCTCATAGGATGCTTTTTCAATCTATGCTGTATGTAATATACAGATTATTGACATTTATTTGCTTTCAACAAATCTTTACAGGCCAGCTCTGGAGTCAAGCAATGGAATAAGCGCTGGTTTGTATTGGTGGATCGCTGCCTTTTTTACTACAAAGGTATGAGGAGATGCAAGTCTAAAATTAAATATTAAAATTGTATTTAATTTAATTATATGTTAAAATATAAAGGTATGAGGAAACTCCCAGATGCCAAACATAGTTTGAAAGCAATGATGCATTCATTTTCTGTATCTCTTATCAAACTGGATATTCACCTTCATACCCGGTATTGAGGAACAGTACTCCTTTCATAGGAGAGACTGATTTTTTTTTTATCTATAAGGGATACAATATTTTCATGGTTTAGGAGAGATAGGAAAGGCAGTATTTCTTCACAAAGTATGTACTTGAGAAATGTCATTCTATACTATGAGATGTCATAATTGCTGCTAACTGGATGGTTGTAAAGGAGACAACCCCACTGCTTTGATGGTAGTTATAGAGTTATAGAGGACAGCCTACAATTCTATGGTTAAATAACTCATGACCCACTGAGTCACTATTTCAGAGATATTTGCTTACTTAAACAGAAAAACAATATGACCATGGGTGGGCAAAAAAGCAGTGGAACAGGAGCAAGTTGCAACTTCCTGCCAGCTTCCCCATTGATTTTGCTTGTGGGAAGGTAGCCAGGAACATCGGAAGTTATGATAACAGGACCTCAGCGATGTGACGACTGCAGGGCAGTATGGTGACACTGCAGTGGTCACTACTTTGCCAGTGCATGTGGTATGAAGATCCTAGAAATTTCAATCTCACAAGGGTAATGGGCCTGGATCTTTGGATTCATTCTTTAAGTTAACCCACTGGAGGTACCTTATGTTGAT